TGCCTATACTTTTTCGTATGGTTCCTTTAGTTGTCTATAAGTTTTTGTATGGTCTGCTATAGAGATCTTTATGGCTACTCTTTGGACCTTTTTAGACTACATTTTAGAGCAGCCTATGGCCTTTCCTATGGTTTCTCTAGCTGCCCATTGATCTCTGTATGGTCCCCTATAGCTCATTCTATAGCTCGTTCTACGGATCTCTATACCTATCGTGCTATAGCTGCCTATGGCTTTCGCTATGGTTCCTTTAGCCATCTATATACTATATAGCTTCTTGTATGGTCTGCAATAGAGATCTCTATGGCTTACTGTATGCATCTTTTTAGACAACCTAACTTAACAACCTAGCGGTTTTCCTGTGGTTTCTTCAGCTGCCAATTGCTCTCTGCATGGTCCGCCATAGCTCAATCTATAGTTCGTCATATGGCTTCCTATACCCATCGTGCTTTAGCTGGCTATAGCTTTTCGTATGGTTCGCTTTGCCCTCAATAGCTTCTAGTGCGGCCTGCTCTCGAGATCTCTAGGGATTACTCCATGGATCTTTTTAGACACCGTGCTATTGCATCTTATGGAATTTCCTGAGGGAGTCTTTAACCGCCTATTGCTATATCTATGGTTCGGTATGGCTCATTCTATAGTTCGTGATATGGTTCTCATTACCAGTTGTGCTTCAGCTGCCTATAGATTTTCATATGGCTCCTAGCCGTCTCTAGCTTCTTGTACGGACTGCAATAGAGATCTCCATGGCTTACTTTACGGGCCTTTTAAACACCGTGCTATAGCAGCCAATAGCTTGTCCTATGGTTTCTGTAACCCCCTATTTCTCTATTTATGGTTCGTTAGAGCTCAGTCTATAGTTCGTCATATGGTTCTCTATACCCGTCGCTCTTCACCTGCCTATAGCGTTTGCTATGGTGGCTTAGCCTCTATAGCTTCTTTAATGTCTCCTATAGATATCTCTATCGCTTACTCTGGGGATCGTTTTAAACATCGTGCTATAGCAGCCTATGGCTTTCCCTATTGTTTCTTCAGCCGCATATTGCTCTTATTATGGTGCGCTATAGCTTAATCTATATTTTGTCGTATGGTTCTCTATACCCGTCGTTCTTCAAAAAGCTATAGCGTTTGCTATAATGGCTTAGTCTCTATAGCTTCTTTATTGTTTCCTATAGAGATCTCTATCGCTTACTCTAGGGTTCGTTTTAAACACCACGCTATAGCAGCCTATGGCTTTCCCTATGGTTTTTGTAACCGTCTATTTCTCTATTTATGGTTCGTTAAAGTTCATTTTATAGTTCGTCATATAGTTCTCTATACCCGTCGTTCTTCACCTGCCTATAGCGTTTGCTATGGTGGCTTGGTCTCTATAGCTTCTTTATTGTCTGCAATTGAGATCTTAATCGCTTACTCTAGGGATTGTTTTAAACACTGTGCGATAGCAGCCCTCGGCTTTCCCTATTGTTTCTTCAGCCGCCTATTGCTCTTATTACGGTGCGCTATAGCTCATTCTATATATTGTCATATTATCTTCACCATCGGGCTATAGCTGCCTATTGTTATATTTTTACCGTAATTGTATGAAATCTGAAAAAAACAAAATTGTTTCTATACATTTTAAAATAACACTACAACCTCGTAGTCAGGTATGAAATTAGGTTGGACATCTCAAATATATTTAAGAGGTTTGGAACTGAAGAAGCCTATTTAAAACAAAATAATTAAATAAACGCCCTGGGTTTTGCAAAAAGGCAGATAAACAGACACAAGGGATTGCTTTCAAATCTCGTTGAACTTTATTGCACACAGCCTATTTTGTGAACAAGTACAAACAAAGCAATCTGTAATACTTGGAGAGGTACTACTAACCTGTCGAAAAATTGAGAGGCTTGCAAAGCAAACAAGAACCAAAGGTAATTCCTGGGTAGTGTCTTGTCTCCCGGGAGTCGGCAGAATGTTTTCCCCGAAATTCTATTGGCAGTCGCTACTCAGTGGCGCTGCAATGAGTTCATCGAACGACGTTTCATCGACAGATCGTTTGATCAACACGGGATGTTTCATAAACAACTTAATGATTTGCTGCAGACTCGGCAAGAAGTGGCGTGAACGGGTGGGCCGGGTAGGTGAGCACGTGCCTCAGGGATACAGGCGCGACGAAATCCACCTCCAGCGCGCAATTCGCGTACTGTGTGTTGATGAAACGTTAGTGTCGACGAAATGTTTGTCCATAAAACATGTATCCACGAAACGGTGTCCAGGAAGCGTGTTTTAACACAACGCAGGGAGATTAAGGAAGTCAGTATTCTACCTGCTGCTGCCATATGATTTAAGACAGCTAATGGAAGGCGACTGCTGGTAGAATTTCGGGGAAACTATTTTCCCGGCACCCAGGAGAAAGACACTGCCTAATTCTAGAGGGAATTTGGAAGAGTACCCGTAGGAGAACGGTCATTGTCGACGAGTTGGTTGCAGCGCACTTACTTGAAAGATCTAATCCGATATATATGTCCACACAGGCACTGCAGAACAGTTACTCAGACACAGAAACGAGAAGAAAGGGATTCGTGAAGATTCATTACAATTTACCTCAAGATGCCCTTTGCGGAACCGAACGCTGAACGCATCAGAAGAATGGATGGTGCTTCTTTGAACAAAACGCTTGTTGCCGATATACGGTTAACACGTTTTGATCGATATACCATTTACCACAAAAGCGAAATCCACACCAGCCCGGCGGCCCGCACCACACTCGAAACTAGGTCCGCAAAGCAGCAGGCATCTCGTGATTGGCAACGGCGAATGTGTCATCTGTAAAACCACGTGATCACGCTCTTCCCGGTACATGCGCACAGAAAGCGGAGTGAAGTGACAAACAGTGTACGGTTTATTAGTCCTGCTAGTGCGAACGTTTTACCCCGCTTTCAGTTTAGTAAGAGAGAGAAAAAGAGGGAAGGAACTTGGGTACGCTAACAAAAACTAATCTTCAGGGGCATACTAATAAAGAACACGACGAGAGGATGTGTCACCTGTATCCTCTTGAAAGTTCGACCCGCGGTTGAAAGTGCGGTGGATGCAATGTCTGACCTGCTTCAGGCAGGTGCCGTGTTCTGAGTTATCACCAGCTTCGAGACTGTAGTCACGTGACCCTAAACGGAGGCACGATTGGAGTAAAGCGCGCATAGTGTCTGGTCTGCTGTCAATACCGAGTGAACAGGACAGCTCCACGCTGGCCAGTTTTTGGACATCCAAAGAAGCTCCCCAGCCCAGATGTGAGTTAAAGCTGGGCAAGTTTGAAGATACCATGTTTTACGCGCTGTAGCCCATATTATAATTTAAAATAAAAAATAAGCCGCGAATATTTTTGGCGAACGATGTACATAACTGAGAAGAAGAAAACCCTTGGTGAAAACAGCAACAGCGTACGATTTATTCTTCGACGTTTCGGCCGGAGTCCGGCCTTCGTCAGAAAGAACTTTTACAGAAAAAAAAATTGTAATAGTAATAGTCTTTATTTGCTCAGGAGAGCCGCGGCACCACAGAAAGGCAACAGCCCGTACCAAGGAGGCCCGCGGTGCCGCGTCTAGTGAAGGGGATTATGTGATGATGTAATATACAAGATGAAAGTGCTGATGATTAGGATATGTGTTTTAGGCCTAACAGCATTCTTCGCGGTTGTGGTCTTCGCGGTGCTGCCATTGGCTGCTTACTTCTAGCAGGCCGGTCTCAAGCACCTGGAGTGGGCTCCTCGCGTGTCCGACTTGCATAGTAGCCGGCCGAATTACCGGCGACGCAGGGAATCCATCACCCCCGCGGGCGGGCTCCAGGTGTTGGCTCCAGTGTTGGCCGAGCGGCGGTCTTTACGAAAGCGGGCCTTGGAGTCTTTCAGCTTGCCGTCCAGCTTGTAACTGAGCAGCCTGAGCACCATGTCTATCGAAGACATGGTGTGTGCCACTGGTCCGGCTGGCTTTCGGACGATCGAAAAGACACGTCTTACGCCCAGTTGGCTTCTTCTTCCTTTTCCTTTTCGTGCAATTGGTTTGCACTTTATGTTTATACAGCCTTGATGGAGATGCGCCTCAACGGGTAATCGCTCTCTTAGCTGTAGACAAAAAGTCATATTTTTCTATCATGATGTGCAATAAAACGAAAGGCGATAGGTCTGGCAAGGTGTCCGCATTGCGGGTGAAATGGCGGCTTCGCTTATGTACTTGAGGACGGAAAGGCGACGTGGTAAATTCTCATAGTCGTCAGGGTTGGCGTCCTGAGTGCCGGTGACGACCGCTACCATTCTTCGATTATCCGTGAAGTATGTGTGCAAGGGAAGTGGAAACTTCTAAAACCACCCAACATTACGTGTAGTGGCTGAATACTGCCAAAGTAGGATTCCCCATAACGCAAGTAATGTTTCAAAACAAGTGTTTCAAGCAGACGACACGAAGATTTTCAATTCGTCGTGGCATTTTTGGCGGGACGCAAGGGCAGCCCTCTCTGCTCTCTTTGCGCGGCACGGCCGGCGGAAAGTTCCGACTTCCCTCTCCACGCGCCAAGAGGGGAGAGAACAACATTTTTCCCTAATTTCGCCGACGAGAGCCCACGTGGACGAAATCTCTGTAACGCTTCGCCCCTAAAGCTGTCGCTTTAAAAACGTATCACGAAGCAAGAAGCGGGAACAAAAAGAACAAAGCCTTGTGTTTCTTGAGCTGTCAGTGACATCAGCTGTATCGCGCTGACAAAGACCGGGGTCACAGAATGCGTTGAACTGCGATGCCCATGAAGTTTGTGGTTGCGCTAGCGTAATCACACACAGGCAGCATGTGCAATAATCCCTTCAAGCATAGTAGCTCTACACATTCTGTGTTTTCAGGCATTTGTAAGCATGATCTAGCTAGTGTAAATTTTTATTAGCTTTATTTCTTTCGTTGTGGTTTCGCCCGGAATCGGTCTAATTATTTATCGCATACCAATGCGTGCATATTAAACAACAGAAAAAAGACAGTACTTGTTTAATGCTTTATTTTATTAGGTTTAAGCGCTTCGTCGGGCGTTACTGCCGCTAGATCACCCATGTTCTCCTTAGTCAACGGCTGGGCATTTAGTTTGACCCTGAAAGGGGAAATGTGATTAAGTTTCTCTTGAAACGTGTACAACGCTATGAAGATCGCGGATTTGAAGATTAATACAGTGTTAACATTTGCTAAATTAGGCTGCAGGGTGAATACTCCGCGAGTACACCGATACTAGACGTGGAGCTTTAACGAATGCATCTGTAAGTGTGACTGTTAAATACGGTACATTAGAACTAGAAGAAGAAAGATGCAAGTGAGCTAATTGGCATATGAGACAGCTTAAAACCTGAAGCGCAGAAATACAAGCAATGAGAGTAACATCCATGGGTAAGGTAATAATACAAAAGCGGTTATCTTTATTTAACTTGGAATAACATAAGCTCTCAGTCGCAAGTGCCTATCGCGATGTCGAGATTGAAACATATGCTCGTCAAAATTTCTGTTTTAGTGGAGATTCATAGGCAAAGGACTATCTATATAAGTATGACAATAGCATAAAGGCACACACTTGACTCCAAAGACTTTAGATTGCATGATACAGTTTACAATAAACATATGACGTGCCTGCTCGTCTGGCAGATATGGTTTTGTTTAACTCGCGACATTGCTTGGCGAGTGTTACTGAATCATTGGCGAGTATGCTTTCAGCGCCTTGATGGCTAGAACTTGTGATTTCCTCTGCTGGAAAACAACTTAGATTAGGCGTAAAACTGCGTTTATATTTTTGATATTAATTTGCTTTCTTGACTTCAATTACATAAAAAAATAACCAGAATTATTAGAGGGCTTATACGAGAAACCCCTTAACACTCACAATATTTTGTTCAAACATGCCGGTTGGAATTGGTAGCCATTATAGCCTTCTTATGGCTTTCGGACTTCAATATTTGGTACCCGATTCTGATTAGATCATTTTCATGTAAGTGAGCTTCAGCAGTTGTAGCAAAAACTGTTTTAACAATAGGCCTCAAACAATATTAATGATAATCAAGATTTGATTTATGATTTAAGATATCAACATTTAAAACTATAAATATTCTGTTTTTCGTATTCCCCTCTCCCCATATACAAGTGGATTACTAGCATTTCGTTGAACACTAATAAGGTAGTATTTTACTGAGATAGCAAACATTTACAACATAATAAAGTGGTTATGATTTTCAAGACTGCACTCAATCTTCACCTATTATTAGCAACGTGCTCGACCGAAAGCGTCACTGTGATCGGCTTTTCATGATTGCCCAAACCACGGACATAAATGGCAGTGTCATAATGTGAACTTTGACAGTATTTCTTTGAGAATGCGAGAGCTCCTAACTTCACATGGGCTTTATTACACACAATCAAACCTTTCGTCTGAAGTGATGGCACGTAGCCTGGATCGCATCTAGTGACGTCACGGCTAGGCACGGCTGGACGTGATGTCACGGATGGAAGCCACAAGAAGGCGCCACCGAGACATCTAGGCGCTAATAGCCATTTTGTTGACAGGAAGCGTAAGGAAGTGTTTTAAAATTCGCGTAAGCGTGGATTTTGTTTGCTGCGTCACACACCGTAAAGCTCCATTACGGAATATCGGTTTCGTTTGTTACCCGCTTTGAAAAACGAAAAAAAAACAAAAACTTACCGTATGGGCACGAATCTTTGCAGCACTCTTCGGATCCGAAGTCGTTATAACCCTTACCACATCCGGTGTATGACACGCATTTGTTGGAGTTCTTGTCAAAGTACCACATTGTTTTAGCAGTCCCGGCGCAAGATGAGATAGCATGGGGTGCCCTGCAGACACTCTCTGCAGAAAGGTTCGATAAAGCATCAAAGATTAATAAAATCATTATATACACATCTTTAATATAGAAACAATTACGGATGATCACTTTTCCACCAAGTTTTATATTTAGGTAGAAATGTAAGACTCGTCACTGTTGCTGATAAAAGATACCAGATGAAGAACCTTTGACCAAGCCTCTCAGTAATATATGGTAAAAAACTGAACACTGCCTCGAATTTTCACTCCGATATTACCTTTAAAAAAGGAATGTCCGGGTGTGTAATAGCAGTATTCAAGTGAAGATTGAATTAAAATTCACATTAATTTACGAAAACATGAACGAGTATTCTAATAGTTTTTTTCCTTTTTTAATAGGCAATTTAATGTACCTGCAATCAAAACTTTTAAATGCGGGGTCTCCTTGAGATTTACGCTGCCATCATGGATGATGAAACGGGGAGGAGGGATAATTCTTTAGGGAATGGTCCAAATAAACCAGGCAAACAATATATATAAATATATATATATATATCAGGCACGTAGCCAGGCTTTTGTTTTTTGGGGGGGGGGGGGCGCCCATGACAAAATCCTGCATAAGGGGGAGGGGGGAGACGAGGTCCCAGCAAAATGGAAGCTTTCGGGGGAGAGGCCCGGGCCCCATGGGCCACCCCCCTGGCTACGTGCCTGATATATATAATGGGAATGAGTGAAGATTGACAACTGTAGCCGTAGTAATATTGCGAACGAAGAGGGGAGAAGGTGAATATTGAATTATATATATATATATATATATATATATATATATATATATATACACACATACATACCCATGCCCTCGTGAACTCCTCACTTTTTTTTATACGAGAGGTCTATGCAACTAAAGACGAAGACTATTTTGTAAAGCACAATTTTGATCAGTCAGCATTTGGCCGAGGCATACGACATTTAATCGTTATTGATGTGAATTGTAATCAAATATGACGCGTGATAGAAAAGCCTGACAACTGGGATGGCGATGGCAAGCTCGAGCAGACTCTATATTAGAATACAAAGTTCTTAAATAATGCAAAACAATTGGGGAAGAGACTTACCAGGCAGCAGCGCAATGACACACACTGCTGAAGCTAGGAAGCAAAGGGCTGCAATGGTTGCCTTCATCTTGGACGGTAGATGCCGAAGATGTGGTTAGCGATTTCTGAGTGTGTATTTATAGGGATCCACCCGCAAAGAAAAAGTCAAAGATTCATAGTTTCTTTTTTGTTTTTTTCTTCATACAGAGGGACAATGCCCTTCACACGCTCTGTTCTAGAAGTCTGTGACTTGGAAATATTTACAACAATTGGATATCACGCTGACAATCTGTAAAAGTGAAAATAATGTTTGCGTCACACGCTGCAGGTATTTAATCCCACCTGCTAAAGTCATTCTACTTTTTTAATTTTTTTTAGGGAAAACATTTTGAAGGATAATAAAATAAAGCTTCACAATAAAAATAAAGATTAAAAAGTTATAAATCTTTTTTTCTTTGTACATGACGAACGATATCAGCCAGCATGTGCGTATAATAACAATGCCTGTGTTCCCTGGGAAGGGAATCCTAAGTTGTATGCCTTGCCGATGACGTAGAGTCTCTAGGCAAAAAAATAGTCAAACATTTTCGTTAAACTTTGTTTATATTTGATCAAAGTGTAGTAAAGCGTAATTGTCCTGACTGGATCCGTTCAGATTAATCACACGAATATTGTTTCCTAGTTATCGCTCAATATTTATCCTCAAAATCTCGCGTAATAAATTGTTGATATGAACTTTTATGCACACTGATTTTTGAAAACATGTAAACTGCTGCCAGCAAGAATGTTGATAGAGTGTTTAATACATTTAGAAGCATCAATGATTTAAAGAAGACTGCAAAAATATATATTGGTATATATTTAACTTCGTTCTCTTCTTAAGATATATTATGTATCCTTCGGAAGAAATAAATTAAACTGGCGAGAAATGCAACAAATATATATATATATATATATATGCAATAATTCTTTTAGTTTAATCTAAATTGGGAATTTGCTGTTATTCTTCCTTGAAATCAACGAGAGAAATAGCTCTACTGAATACGAAGGTTAAGGCCGGTGGGCAATGTGATAAGGTTAAGTGATATTCATAATAGGCTCTAGAACAATTTATAGAATTTGAATTCTACTAAGTAACAATATCACAAAAAATCTCAAGTAATATACGCTTTAAACATAAATATAGCGCTAAATAGGAGCCACATGATGCGTGTTTTATTGCTAACGATGAATGGTTGGATGGACGGATACAGCCTAAGCCTTCGAAACGTGAAGTGGTTTGCGCTAAATACCAGCTCCGACAAGATAATTCGGCCAAGAGTTTTAGAAAACTGTTTTTTAACTCCGATGCGATTTGTTTTATGTCCGATATTATTGTCTGACGTCGTGCTGGAAGCTCGTTTTTTCTTCCATCGCTTGGATAAGCTTCCCAGTCGGCTTGCTAAAAATCTTAGAGAAGCTGGAAATTAAAGTGGAGCGATTCGTTCGTGCGGGTTTCATGAACGTCACTGAGTGGTAATGCTGGAGAATATCGCAATATGTAAAAAATAAATGAAAACTTCAGAAAACTGCGCTTTCTTCTGGTAAATAGCTTCATAGCGGTATTCGTTTATGAATATTTCTGTTTTAATTTACCAGAGGCTTCTCGGCGTAGAGGTTTTAAGTTTATATTCACGTTCGGACAACAGGTGTTTTTCATTCCTTTAAGCTTTGGTTTCTACAAATATCTGGACCATAATCACGTAACATAAACCACGTGTGCTGCGTTAGTGTTCGACGGAGACTCGTGTTCGGTCAGTGTGAACACGACTCCCAACTTAAGGCAGACGCTGGGGCTCGTGACCAATACCTGCCGCGCTGTCCTCCGATAGGTGGCAAAGCAATTTAACACTACTAAAATATTATTGAACACTCGACACTAGGAAAAATAAACGTCGAGAACACACACACGCAGGTCTCAAAACACTACTGCTACGTTTATTTTCATGTTCTTGTTTATAAAGTCGAGACACTACCGACCTTAAGACGTAGGAAGCCAGACGTTATCACAACAGGTTACACCCAAATTACATCCCCACAGCCTTCCCCGTTCACAACCTTGAAATGTACCAACAGTGCCGACTGACTGGTTTAGTTTAATCCCATCGCAACCGTCATATGCTCACCTACTGTGTATTGCACAGTGTCCCCGTAAGCCTTGGTTTCTAACGAACAACAGGCTTATCTGTTGTTCGTTAGAAACCACTTGAGAAAACGAGGCACACATACAACTATAACAGTATCTTAAATGAAATAATTATAATGCAACATAGGCTAAATACATCAAGGAACATAAGATTTAGGAAGTTGAAGAAAGAGAAAACAGAAACACTGGACCGCTATCGCAACATAAATATAAAATCGTTGATTGGTAAAGAACGGTTCACGGATCGCTAATACAATTTGGCTTACTGTGTATTATAGTGGTTTCAAACAGAACTATTTTCGCATTGTCATTTCCGTTCACTACGACTTTCAATTGCTTTCTCACCAAGACACGACCATTGAATACTTTGAAACGTTTTGCTCTTTTTTGATTTTGGAAGCTTGATGTTACCGCTTTTTCATGCTGAGATGCCAAAATGTTAATGCATCGCTTAGTCTGTCCCCCCTAGGAACGCCCGCTCTCCAAGGAAATATTCTCGACCACTCCTCCTCGCACTTTACTTTTCCTTCCTTGGGCTCTTTTACACATCTTCGATTTTCTGCCGTGAATATCGTCAGCGTGCTTAGCTTGTAATTGAGATTAAAGTCCACTCATACGTCAAACGGCTCCGCAACTACCTTCATGTTGTGAGAAACCGCTTTAAAAAGGACATAATTCGACGACGTTCTCCAGTGGATTAGTGCTTGTCTGTGGCCCACTAAGAGGAAAGCTTAGCTTCCAAAATATATTTGACATAAATGCGTAATTATTCGCCGCTATACTTAACTTTAAATATAACTTCCCGATGCGGAATTTACAAAATCCCCACGTAATTTCCTCGAAGTATTGTGCAACCCGGACATCACAACTCCCCTCTTCTGTGATTTGGCGTGGCAACTTGTAAAGCACAACGGTAGCTTCGACTGAGTTTCCCATACTCCCAGCCGAGGCCTCCTTCCTTGATTGGTTTAACATCTAAGAACGGCAAAATTACTTCCGTTGATCTTGCTGTTGAAAATATCAATTCCGGCTTTACGTTTTTACAACTCACGACGTTTTCTAGCGGAGAACTAACAAGCGCACACAACAAGATATCATCCACAACCTCTTAATATCGCTGTTCCCCTCTTCATTGCACCCAAAATGCGTCAGATACAATTAAGACTGATTGCGTGTGGAAATTCGAAGGCATTGGTGAAACGCTTCCGTTTGACACGTTCTAGGCGCACCTTGAGTCAGCCAAAATAGTGGAGCCGCCGTTGTGTCGGGGAAGCATGGCCGTCTCGTACCCCATAGCCCTGGGTTCAATTACCACCAAGACCGAAATGTACAAAATTTTCTTTTCAGATACATTATTTTATTTTGTTTACAGGAACCTCCCTGAAATATTTGACGTCAATCTGAGCATTTTTACGTGTTTCCACGTTGGGATTATCGCGCTGGGATTTACAGCAGAGGTTTTCGAAGTAGTGCATTCATTTATTGACAGTATGAATACATGAAACCTCTGAGGTCAAAAGAAAGAAATTTAAAAAAATTGGTTTTGGGCATCGAAAAATTATACCTACTGTTTTTTTTTTTCTTTTTCACAAAATCATTAGAAATTTGTTTGGGCTGTTTTGGCGTGTATTACGATATAAAAATTGGTGAAATGTAAAGAAAACTCGGAGGACGCTTAAGGGCTTCGCCTTCAAGAGTGGAACGCGAAAGCAGTGTTTTCCAGTGATAAGCGAAGTGTCAGTGCCAAGGTTGCTTTGCCGAAATCTTTCTGTGAAGCTACCGGCGTAGCTATTAATAGGGGCAAGTGCAGTGGTTTTTGGCACGGCGCATGTGCCACAAAGCCTTCAGAGCACGAAGGCGTTAGCTGGGACTGCGTGCCCTGCGCATACCTCGGTGTGCCTTTCAATTCGTACCGCGAGAGCAAATCCTTTTGGTCGGGGTTCGCCACCCTCCCGGACAGCCGCGCTTCTCGTTTGAAAAAGTCGTGATGTGTCCATCTTTGCTATGCCGACAGTTTGCAATATATTAATGATTTCAAAGGTTTGGTATGTATTGCAAGCCATATATTGTGAGCAGTGAGAGAGTGCAGGCGAGCTGGGAATTAATCGACTTCTTGTAAACCCTAAAATGGAGAACGATAAAAAAAAAACGGACGAACACAACAAAATCAACAAGATTTTGTTGTGTTCGTCCCTTTTTTTATCGTTCCCCATCTCAGGGTTTACAAGATGTCCATATATTGTAGCCGTGTTAATGCTCATAAGTTTCGCCGTGCTTTTGCTGTGTTGATCTTGAGATCGAATGGCGAACGCATAAGGCGAGACAACCTCTTTCACAGGGTACGTCACGGAGGGGTTGGGCTGTCCCGTTTATTTGTCAAACAACTCGTGCCATGTTTTTTTTTTTTTTTTTTTTTTTTGCGAGAGCATGAGCACCCCTTTATCCGCACGTTCATCCGAACAAAATTGACGCCTCATTTGCCATCCTTTCTTGTTTTTCTCTTATGGCGGCGAGCCAACAAAACTCGTGGGTTTTCAGAAGGAGGTCGTTGATGCTGTATTGTTTTTGTCTGCTCGTTTTTCTTTTGATTATTTGTCTTTAGTGTGCAAGAAACCGCTCGTGCGAGATTTGATAATCACGTGTTTTCTGACGCCCATGCATCGAACTGTTTTTTGTCATAGCGGACAAGATGTGCTGAGCCGAGTTAAGCGCATATGTGTACCACCTTCGGTGAAAACGTTCTTTTTTAAGTTACTTACCAATACGTTGCCGGTCAAGGTGTGGATTAGGAAAAGGGTTTTTATGGTGCCGTGGACGCTTTTTTTTTCATGCAAGCAACTTGAGACCATTAAGCATGTATTCATTTTTTTGCATGGATACCGTCTTTGTCTAGGACGTGCTCC